AAAAAAAAAATCCCACTCATTTAAATAACTTTTTTTTGTTGCTGCATGGGTATTTCTGCAGCGTGTGATGTGATAGGGGACGAAATAAAAGGTAAAAGACTTCCTTCTATTAATTGTGTTTATTGGACTGGATCACAGAATGTAGTTTTTGAAGTTATTGGAGCTCACCTTAAACTCATTTGTGATGTGCTCAAGGAAGGAGCCAATAGCCTGGAAGAGACAAAACTTGTCAGATACCATATTGCATCTTAAGCATTTTATTATGAATTCTTTTGGGATTGTATCCTTTCTCTTCTTTTAATCTTATCTCTAATGTCTGCTAAAAATTGGTATACCTTCTCAAAACAGTCTTGTTTCCTGTGTGTAATGGTCAGTTCCACAGACCATGCCTTTCATTTTCAGAAGTGGATCATCTCAGTTAAGAGTTTAGTGTGATTTGAGAAATTGTCGATACTCTTTTTCCCTCTTTGTTAGCCCAGGTAATGTCAATCACTCTTCTAGACCTTTCCAATGATCAATTCACTGACTGGTTTTTCTTATGACCTTCAATATGGAGGTTCTGTGTCTAAATTAAGGAAAGGAGGTGCTAGAGAAAGTACAGCTAAGTGTTGCGAAAGACTGGAGTTGGGGAGGTAAGCATAAGGAGGTAGCAAATTAACTTTTATATACTAACAGTGAATGTCAAATAGTTTGTAGAACTATAAGTAGTTAGTATGAAGGGTTTGGGGTTTTTTTAGCATGACACTTTGTTAATGATGTAAAAATGCAAAACGTGTTTGTTGGTGAACTGTTAAGTCATACTACAAAGAAAACAGAAATACAACCTCTACCCCAGTGGTGAGGGTTAAGGTATGGTATCATTTGTAACAAAGTGGAATAGGGCTTGGGAAAGGGAGGCTTATGTAGCATTAAGTTCTGTGCAAAGAACAAGCATTTTCTTGTTACAAATAGGAGTATAACAAAATAAAGTGGAAGGGAAGTATTTATCAAAGCCTTAGTGAAGATTATGTCATGTATTGTAATGAATCAGTGAAGATGGCAGTTATTCTCTGTCCCACCGACAGACTTTGGACAGCGTTGTTGTCCATCTCCATATAAGTCATAGATCTTCTTTATGACTGAGCAGAAATGTTCCTCAGCTTCCATAAAATTGCACTGTTTTCTGTTTTTAGCTGTCACAGGGTCTGGCAGTAGCACTTGGGAATTTTGCAGGTTTTGTGCATGCACGTTTGGGTCAATTAAATGAAATTGTTTGCATTATTTAAAACTGTTCACAAACCTGTTTCTAAGTTAAATATAAAGCTTTTAAATATAACAAAATATACCAATTTGAGCAAAAGAGGTATTAAATCTCACTGTGATTTGTTCTTGGTTTAATTTTTTTTTTCCTTGTCAGTTCACAAAGCCTAGTGAGACGACCATTGATTATCCTGACATGGCTAAGGAGGCAGGTAATTTATTATTAAATAAAGCATTTAGTTTGATTGCCAACACTTATTTTAAATCTTACAGTTAATCTTTTTATTATACATATGAAGGAACAGCTACTGTTCAGTAAATGGACACATATAAAAAGCAAATATAAAACTGATAAAGAAAGAACACTTTTACAAAATCCATAACTGACTTGTTCAACTCGCTACCTTCCAGTACTGAAGTCAGAAGGATAGCTTAAAATTGAATTGGACACTTAAATAATTTCATACCTACCTGTATTATTCAAACATACTTTCATTGGGACAAACAACCTTTGCACATGAACACAGAATTGATTGCCTGAAACTTTCTGACAGAGGACCTTGTTCAGAACTCAGTTCTGCAAAAATTGTCCTTATAAGAGCTAAGATGCAAGACTACATTAGCCATTCGCATGATGTAATAAGAATTTTTTACAGCTCGCTCTTGTTTGTGAATGCATGAATCATACATACTACTCTAGGTTTGCTTGTTAGGGTTGAGAGCTGCTTTTTTTTCTTCTTTTTTCAACTTAAAAAATTTTTTTTAAAACTTTTTTTTCTAGGCCAGGCGGCTTTAGATGATGCTGGGATTCCTTATTCAGCAGTGGAGCAGGCATGTGTGGGTTATGTTTATGGTAAGTAAAGTCATTTGATTGGGATGTGACATTCATGACATTTGCAGACATCAGTGTGGATAAAATATGGAGGATCTCACCAATTTCAGGTTATAGTATTTAATCATGTTGGCTTGTAGAACTGTCTCAAACTTTTTAAAAATTATTTTTAGGGATCACACATCTGTGCCTGTTTATTTGTAGAGTTTACAGTTCTAGTCACAGGTATGGAAAGACTTCCACAAAATTGTGTCTTGCAAATGTGTTTTGTACAAGTAGCTCTTTCAGCGAGATCAGGTGGTATATTTATTCAAGTGGTGCAGAACTTATGTATTATAATGTTTACAGCAGTAGACTTAAATTCTTTTATTCTTTGTGTAATGCTGTGTGTACGCTAGAATGGATATGTTTGTTTATCCATTGCTCTTGAGTTGAAGACACTTGCTAGGGGTATTTTGGGGATCAAACATGTACTGTGTCCTTGCACTTTGAGTCCAAGAGCACATGAGAGATCTGCTTGGGCTCAACTTAAGTGGTAGATGAGACCCACTCTGTGAGAGGTTCATAACTATTTTAGTCCTGTGGACATATATAGAAACATAACCATGGTTTAATGTACTGTATAAGGTTATTGAGAGTACATGCATTAGGATGGCTCCAGAATAATGCGTCGCAGCATTATTGTAGACAGAACTGAGTTGTTCATATACCAACACAGTGCTGTCCTGTCTTCGTTACCAGCAGGACCCTTGTTGTGGTTTAACCCCACCCGGCAGCTAAGCTCCATAAGGCTGCTTGCTCACCACCCAACACCCCCCTGTAGTGGAATCGGGGAGAGAATTAGTAGGGTGGGTTGAGATAAAGACAATTCAATAGGTAAAGCAAAAGCTGCACACACAAGCAGAGCAAAAGAAGGAATTCTTTTACCACTGCCCATCTGCAGGCAGGTGTTCAGCCATCCCCAGGAAAGCAGGGCTCAATCATGCGTAACAGTTACTTGGGAAGACAAATGCCGTCACTCTGAATGTCCCCCTCCTTCTTCCCCCAACTGTGTATGCTGAGCATGACATCATATGGTATGGAATATCCCTTGAGTCAGTTGGGGTCAGCTGTCCCAGCTGTGTCCTCTCCCAACTCCTTGTGTACCCCCAGCCCACTTGCTGGTGGAGTGCGGTGAGAAGCAGAAGAGGCCTTGACTCTGTGTAAGCCCTGCTCAGCAGTAATGAAAACATCCCTGTGTTATCAACACTGTTTTCAGCACAAATCCAAACCATAGCCCCATACCAGCTACTGGGAAGAAAACTAACTCTGCCCCTAAAGCCAGCACAACCCTCAAACAGATGTCTAGTAGACACCCTCTGCAGAAGCTTTTAACTCACAGTCACTGCTTATTGTAGTGAGAGGAGATGGTGTCAAATGACTGGTGTGAACCTTTTCCTGTCATTCCAATTCACAGATGCCTGATGTATTTCTCAAAGCAGTCAAAATTGGATTTCTATTATGGGGAAATCTGTTTCCATTCCAGAGTTTTCCATTTAATTTCTTCCTGTTTCTCTATTAATGAGTGTATTATGACAACTGAAGTAGGGTCAGTCAGCTGTGATACCTGTAGCAGCTTCCAAGCCACACCTCTAAGATGTTTCTGTCCAGTCCAGTTAACTTCCGTTGATTCATGGCCTGTTATCACAGAAGCAGGACAAACATCTGTCTTTAAAATCTGATGATTTTCATCTTGTTTCTAAGGTTCTTGTACTGTGGATGCTTGAGAGAGAGATACTGAAGATGACAGTTCAGGAGTTCACGTTTATAGTTTAAGTGGTAGCATTGCACATACATGGTGGGATTTCTCTTTGCTAGTGAAGTTTGCGTATGTACCTTATTTTAATGTGTCTTTGTAAAGGTGACTCAGCCTGCGGACAACGGGCTATCTATCACAGTTTGGGTTTAACTGGCATTCCGATCATTAATGTTAACAACAACTGTGCGAGTGGATCAACTGCTTTGTTCATGGCCAGACAACTAGTAGAAGGAGGTGAGTTGTTTTTCTCTGGGGCTGGGTAATACATATTCTCTAGTTCTATAAATAGAACTTGAATGAAGAACGGAACTAGTGAATGTATGAGTACTTGGAGTTGTAAATGTCCTATCCTCATAGGCAAAATTGTGTTTTCTAACTCACTCAACTGAAAAGATTGCTCAGTTGTATATACAAATATCAGACCAAGCACTTAAAAAGAGTAAAACTATTGCTATGGACTAGAGCATTATGTGTGCACCTAAGAGACTCTGTTGGTGATGCAGTAAGATGGTGTATAGGGATATAAATGTCCTTTCCTGTGTCATAAGCTGTATGAACGTAGTAAGTAGTAAGCCAGTTAAGGTTTTTCTGGAAGAATTGCTTGGAGTAGTGCAGAACGAGTTGTATTATAGTACTGCAAGACACTAGACTCTGGAGGATGAAAAGGAGAGAAGAATCTGCTCAAAAGGTTAGCTTTTTTTTTTAACTTGAAGCTAACCCAAGTGTTTGACTAACACATTTTTGGAAGGGGCGGGGGGGGAGAGAGCAATGCCTTGTGACAGACTATGATTTGAACTGACAGATGAGTGTTTCCTTTTGTTTCTGCAGTTCTTTTGTGGACTTTGATACTTTCTTGCATGTAAATGCTGATGTTTCTGTAATGAAAACTATAGTAACATTCTGTGTGATTATTCTAGTATTTGTAGCAGACACAGAAGTGCTTGGTGATCTCAGATAATTGCTGCCAAACAGTTTAAAAATAAACCCAAACCCTGTAGTGATCTCACAAACATAGTGATAGTGAAGAATGTATCAATATCATTCCCACCTCAATTTCACTGTCTTTCAAAAATGAAGAAAGGAGGAAGAGCAGCTGGTAGGTGTTTATGTATGTTTCTTGTAACTGAATGGTTGTTAGTACATGATGTCATTTATAATTACATTGTATTTTAAATAGCCACAAATTTTATTTTAAGGTTTGGCAGATTGTGTTCTGGCACTTGGCTTTGAGAAGATGGCAAAAGGATCCCTTGCTTCAGGTGTAAGTGCCTGAAACACTTTATATTTCACCTACAAATACAAGGAAACATATAGCTACTCATTCTCTGAAGCACATTCTCATAAATACCAGTTGCTTTAAGATGTTCCTGTGGATGATTACAAAATAAACCATTATTTTGATCCACAGAAACTTACAAGTTTTATGATTCTGATTGCAGCTATGATATACAAATTTTGTATGGAATGTTTTAGAATTAATTTTATGTAGCATGTCATGCTTTTAGTATTTTACCAAGAATACATTAAAGGCAGGGTTAAGAGGGAATAATGAAAACACCAGATACTGAAGCATTGAGCAATTGATGTGTCTTTCTCAAAATGACACAGTAAATCAAAGAAAGAATTTATCTTCTGGCTTTTGGCTTGATACTTACTCTGTTGACCAGTTAACACACCCAAAACCTAAGGGCTTCTGTAAACCTTTCTGTCTTGTCTCTTTGTTTTTACTGGAGAAGTGTGGGGATTTTTGTTTGTATTTTGCCTTATGGCAAGCAATATTAAAGCCCATATGCTGTTTAACTACAGAACTGCCAAATTTGATATCTGCAGAGGTTTGGGTGAGAAATGTTAAATTTAACTCTTACTCATTTCAATCAGTTGTTATCTTTAACATGATTTACAATATTTCATCTAAGCTTCATTGGAAATACTAATACAGTATTAATTTTATAACTTGGAACTATGTTAACTATAGGATTTTAAGCTGAGGTGAAAAATACCTGAAAAAAGTGATTGTGATAGAAATCACATAGGAGTTGTTCTTGCCATGAATCAGCGCAGTGATTATAATGTTAAGCATTTTCTATTTATTTACTCTCTCTTTTAGTTGAGAAATTATGAATGCTTCAAAACATGTCACTGAAGTGCAACATATTGTCCAGTGGAATTGTTAAAATATTAGAAAAACCTCTATTTTGCATGAAATTTGTGGCACTTTTGTGGCAGTACTCTAAAGAAAAGGAAATGATGACTTGCTTTACAACTATTTCTCTTCTTTTTAGTTTTCAGACAGAACTAGTCCAATTGATAAACATTTGGAAATTATGGTAAATAAATACGGCTTAGCAAGTGCTCCAGTAGCACCTCAGATGTTTGCAAATGCTGGCAAAGAATATATGGAGAAATATGGTATGTTAAGACACATTTTTTCATTGTCCTTTTAGTGAAGTGACTTTAAAAAATATATTAGGATTTTGGTTTTAAAAAATGATAGCATTCAGTGTCCTCTCCGTACTATGGTACTACAACTGCAACATCTACAGCTAACATATGGGAATACATTTGCATAAAGAGTTATCTACAGAAAAGTTGATGATGTGTAGACAAACAAAACCATCAGGAGACAAAACTAAGGCTGTGATACAGAATGTCTGGTAATCATGTTAATGGTATGGTTTGTGCTTCTCTAAGGCCTGGGCAATAAGGTTGCATAATTTCCTGCGTTTTTTCCTTGTGTCTTGAGACTGAATTGTTTGACAAAAGCTCTTGCGTGTTTGATTCAATATATAGTACTAGGCTGCTGTCACTGCTGTTTCTTACCCCCTCCCCAGACAAGGGAGTTGGCTCCAAGGTAACAGGCTGACCTACTGAGTATCTTTTATTTGCACTTAGTTTTAAACTAGTACATGGAAAAATTTTAGACTTAAGACTCCACTATTTCACTGCAGCTGTTTTGCGCTGATAGGAAAATGAGCATTAAAGTTTCGTTAATATAATAATACCTCAAATAAAATGCACATATTCTGTATTTTAATGTTAGTAAGTCTTAAATATCCAAGCAGGATGTTCTCTTTAGCTAAAACTTAAGCTTGTTTAGTGGTCTTTATCTAAATTTTAGGCAGAAGTTGAGTTCTAAGGAAAGCCTACATAACAATGAGTCTCTCGTAAAGGTGCTTGTAAAGGTCAAAATCTTATGACACAATATTTAAAATGCTAGGTTAGCACTGTTTGGGTAAACAAAATATTTCAACACAGTTTGCTTTCCCCTTCCAGGGACAAGTCCAGAATACTTTGCAAAAGTTGCATGGAAGAATCATAGGCATTCAACTAAGAACCCGTGAGTAATGTACTGTACTTCTATAGAACATACATTGCTGTTAAAAAATTAATGCCAAACTGAGTATTATTTTTAGAAATACTTTGCAGAGTATATTCTTTATTATGGAATGAGAATTATACCCAGCATAAATTCTGTATCTGGTGCCTTATACTTTATAAAAACGACTCTATAGCTGCCTAATAGCAGTGGGCATACTAATATCGTACTAAGGACTGCACTAAAACTAAGATTGCATCTGTGTTTTTTCTTAGATATTCCCAGTTCCAAAAGGAGTACACATTAGATGAAATTCTTCATTCTCGCAAAGTTTTTGATTACTTGACCATCTTACAGTGTTGGTAAGGAGATGACTTAGCATTGTGAAACAAATCTTGATGTTAAGACAAATACGTAGGACATCTATTTAAATAAATCTGCATGTAAATTAAAATTTAGAGATTATTTTAAGTAAAACTTCTTACAAATAAAACAAATGTGGAATCTGTCTTGACCAAACACTATCTAGATACTTGTTCACAGTACAATACAGTAAGCTGAAATACGTTTTGTACTTTGGTGCTCTTGTGTCATTCTGTATATCTTATCAACGTGCGTCCGTTGCTGTTAAGTGCTAATTCTTCCCTTCAGCCTTTCCTATACACTCCTGAAAGGTTTGTTGTCAACATTGTTTATAGCCAAATAGAAGCTTTTATTTTTTTCTAAATTGAAAACTTTTAATGATGCATTTCTGTTTTGATGTCATGCTTTTCAAATGTCTGTTATAAATATTATTGAAAGTGTCCAGCTGATGGAATTTATAGGTTCTGTGTCATCGGACAAAGAAGTGGTGTTTTTTTGTTTGTCTGTCCTCTTTGGTTTTTGGTTTGTATTAAAATATAATTCTATGGAAGATTGACATTACTAATTTAGAATGATGACATCATTATTTTTCTTTCAATCAGTCCGACATCAAATGGTGCTGCAGCTGCAATTTTGGCTAGTGAGGAGTTTGTGAAAAGGCATAAGTTGCAGCCAAAAGCTGTGGAAATTCTGGCCCAGGTGATGTCTAGTGATTATCCAAGCACATTTGAAGAAAACAGTTGTATGAACATGGTAGGTTTACAATTCTGTATTCCCCTGATACTCCTCAGTTGATTTTTTTTTTTTTTTTTTAATACCTTCAAGTCCTAATGACACTTGTAGACATTTCCATGTCAGTAAACAAGCAAATTATACTTTGTGGTGAAAGTAAAAGTAATTTAATTTGGGCAGGCAGAGTAAACAAAGAGTATGTGTCCTGGAACACATTCAGGAGACATAGCAATAGGAACATACTGGTTTGAACATCCCCAGGATATTCTAAATTCTCAAGAGCTATTGTAATTAGCCTGGAGGAAAAGGGGAAGATGAAGGGAGGTGTCTCCTCCGTGGATTGGCTCTTGGAGGAGAGAAGGTAAAAGGTGTCATTATTGACGGTTCCCGATAGATGGCTCCCAAAGTACAGAGATGACGGCAATGCTGAGTACAAATACCAGATTAATCTCAGGGCCAGCAATTCCATCATATCATAAGTCACTGTTGCAAAGTGCAGCAACATGATAACCTTAGCCCAGCTCCCAGAGGTGATAAACAGCAGAACAGGGAACATATGCTGCAAGTAAGGTGTTGCACAATGCAACTCCGAGAACTAGCACAACTCTGAGAGCAAATAAATCAACATTCTGACCAGCAACTGTTAAAGTAACACAATGAATGCTTATAACAAATTTGTTCTAATGCGTTCTAGTCAGATTTGTCATTATTTCAGTGCATCGTGCTGCATGTTGGGCGCTAAGAAGGGTGGTTGTGGTTTAACTCCAGCTGGCAATTAAGTACCATGCAGCTGCTTGCTCACTCTCTCTCTGCCATCCCACTGGCAGGGGTATGGATCCTAAGAGTAAAAGTGAGAAAACTTGGGGGTTGAGATAAAGACAGTCTAATAGGACAGAAAAGGAAGAAAATAATGGTAATGATGATAATAATAGTAAAAGAATTAGAATATACAAGGCAAGTGATGCACAATGCAATTTCTCACCACCTGCTGACTGATGCCCAGCCTGTTCCTGAGCAGCAGCCCCTGGCCTGCTTTCCCCACAGTTTATATACTGAGCATGATGCCATATGGTATGGAATATCCCTTTGGCCAGTTGGGGTCAGCTTTCCTGGCTGTGTCCCCTCCCAACTTCTTGTGCCCCTCCAGCCTTCTTGCTGGCAGAGAAGGAGGAGCTGCAAAGTCCTTGATTTAGTATAAACACTACTTAGCAACAACTAAAACATCAGTGTGTTATCAATATTATTCCCATGCTAAATCCAAACCACAGCACTGTACCAGCTACTAGAGAGAAAATTAGCTCTATCCCAGCCAAAACCAGGACTGTATGGTTGTGGAATAACAATAAGAAATTTATAAACAGGCTATCAAAAACCTAGCTTTTAACAAATTATTTAAAGGCTACTTTTTAAACAATTTGAACAGCAAAAAACCCATTTCTTTAATGTTTCTGTTTGTAAGAGTAATGAAACTTAAAACAATTTTACTGAAGTCTGTGTAATACTGAAACTGAAATAACCTGTTGGGTACAGTCATGATTACTTGCTCAAGTAGAATGAAGGGAAAGACCTGAACTGCAAAATTTGGATCCCACTGAAAATTGACTAAAACAATTGGATGTAAGCCAAACCATTAGAATACCCAATAGTTTCTACTGCAGTCATGTTCTGTTTGAGTTTCAAATACAATTCTAGTCAGGTGCCTGATAGAAAAAGGTAGCAAGACAGTTTGAGGATTTGTTTCAAGGCTTTTGGTCCAAGTCATGCAAAGGAGCAATTTGGCTTGTGAGCAAGGATAAGAAAATAGAGGGTTTTGCCGAGAAAAGTTTCCACATACCAACAATGAGACTTAGAATGTTTTGTTTCTTTCTATACAATTCATATTGTGTGAATAAAACTCTGTGATTTGTGATGCATTAAAATAAATAAGAATGCCACCTCCTACAGGTTACTTCCACTTACAGGATATATAGAAGCATGTTTAAAATTAAGCGTAGAAATGAAATTGCTAGCTATGTTTCTTTAATGATATAATTTCTTCTTGTTGCAGGTTGGCTTTGATATGATGAAAAAAGCTTCAAAAAAATGTTTTGAAAAAGCAGGCCTAAAACCTACAGATGTTGATGTGATTGAACTTCATGACTGCTTCTCAGTTAGCGAGTTCCTTATCTACGAAGGTCTAGGACTCTGTCCAGAAGGTAATAGCATCAATGGAGATCATAATTTTATTAAAATGGAAAGCATTAAAAAAAATCTTTGTTCATACAATTAGAACTTTGAGTTGTCTAAAGGACAGATCTTCTGTATTTGAAAGGCTCATTAGCTAACCTCATAAGAGGGAAAAGCAAGTTACCACTGTAGTAACATCAGGAAGACCTGCAAACTCTAGAATTAGTTTAACAAGTGAGTGTGTGACTGTGATTTCTGAAGAAATATACAAGGCACATTAAAGTGTTGGACAACTATGTGAAATTATACAGCTAATTTGTGCAGGGATGGCTCTTAAGCAAGCACAGCAAGGAAATTAAGGACTCTTGTGATCTTTCTCAGTATTATGCCCCCTTTTCAGGGCTGTAGACTTACACCCCAAGATTTCCCTCCATCTTTGTTATTTCCTTTTAAGAAGAGAAGTTGGACAAGAGTGACCTATAGAGGGCCTTACCAAGTTACTTATCTTTGATGAGACTTTTCTTAAATCTTGAAACATCTTTGCCTTTGAGAATAGAGTTGTTGGCAAGCTGTCAACATGCCTCTAAAGTCAGCGGATTTACAACAGGTTAAATGGCAGTGGAGTTTAGTTCTATGTATGTAAGTCAAACTGTTAAATTTTTCTACTGAAGAGGTTTTTGTTTGATTTCAAATAAATAATGCATTGAACTGCTACTTCAGTATTTGATATATTGAAACTCTAAATACATTTTTGCTTTGCATAAATAATCATCTGATGTAATCTTTCTCCAATTTGTTTTTAGCTAATTTTGACAAAATAACATAATCTATCGCTAGATGGTGTGTTGTATTAAGTCTAAGCTTTCTCACTGAAACAGAAGTTCATAGAACTTCAGGAAGACTTCTTACGTGTTTGTAGGTCTTTGAATATTTGCCTTTGAATACTTGCTTTTTACTGTCTCCTTTGCTGTGTTTCTATGGTATCTGCAGTAAAGATGGTAAATGTTTGACATATTTAAATAGGTACCTTAAGCTTTTTAACTTCATTCCTTTAATCGAAGATACAGAGGAATCCTGATGGTATTTGTCTATTTGACCAAGAAGTCTTGTGTATGGTAATTTAATAGTGCAATTCTCACTACCTTTCAGTCAGTCTGACCTTAATAGTATGTGAAACATATCTTGGAATGGTAGACTAATTAGAGATTAGTGAAATGGCATAAACTACATTGTGGATTTAGATGTGCAACACTAACCTGGTATTCTCATTTAATGTCAGAAGTAAGTTATAAATACAGAAAATGTTGCAGATCTTTTTTAGACTTCAATGTTAACAATGTAGGCTAGAGAAGCTGGTACAAGAATAAAGGAATAAGAGACTGGTTAAAAGGGAGAACTGTCTGCTGAAGACAGGGGAACTAATAGTCTGGAAAGCTAAGCAATTCTAAGCATTAGTCTTATAAGTGGTTTTATTTCCTACTTTAACATCTTAATGCAGCCCAAGGTACCTTTAGCTGCTTTTGTGGCAAGGGCTCATGTTCACCAGGACCTCCATGTCCTGGGGATCACAAATTATGACTAACCCCTCTTTTACAAAAAAATAGTTATCGCTGCAGTTTTCTTAATAAAATGACAGCTTCATTATATTGATTATATCATAATACTGTATATCAACAAAACAGTTCAACCGCAAATTAAAAAAAGCTTTTGTATCAAATGCTAGCCCTTCTACTTCTTTTCCATGTTACACTTTCTCCAATGGTATAAGCAAGTCTAATGTAGTTTGGCTGATTTCAGTCTACTCTCTGTAAAATCTGTGGTGTAGTATTTCCTAGGTTTTGAATGACATGTAGCATCTTTGGTAAGTGACAGTGGAATTTGAAAATCACATAAAACCAAAAAAGGAACATTTTTCTTATTTATAAATACTGTTTTATAGGAAGAGCATGTGAACTGGTTGACAGAGGAGACAACACTTATGGAGGAAAATGGGTTATTAATCCTAGTGGTGGCTTGATTGCAAAGGGACATCCACTTGGTGCTACAGGTATGCAAAAACATTTCATTTAGTCATGCCCATCAGATATGAGATGCAGCTCCTGAGCAGGCAGATGCTTCCCACTTGTATTTGTCTGTATGAAACATGAGGGCTTCATAAGAGGAGAAGGAAGCTCTGGAGTTCATTCTCATTTCCAACTAATGCAAGCTTTAGGGCAGGTTGACCATGCAGGATTGCTCAAATCAAAAGACTTGGAGTATGAATTTGATCAGTAGCACTTATTTAATTTTACAGTGCTTTCTTTTTTCCTGTTATTAAAGCAACCTGTGAAACAGGTGTAACTTTTTTCTGAATAATTGCTCAATAGTACAACTTCTGCTGAATGTAGTTTGAATAAGTATTTTTCATATGTTGTCATCCCTTTAAAATTCAGATTTTGGAGATTTTTTTACTGCATCTGAATAGCCTGTACCCTTGCTAGATATAATAAAAGCCTTGGATGTCAAAATATTTATCTGATGTTTACAACAAAAGCTTAGTTAGTCACTGTTTGCCAGCAACATAGGTTTTGCACTTTTTTTGGTGTTTTTGTTTTTGTTTTTTTTTTAAACTGCTATGCTTGCTTCCAAATGAGATGGCTGTTGGAAAAAATATATTTGGATTTGTGAAGATAATTCACCTTTGGAAATGAGAAGTTGCCAGAAAACAGGACCAGAGGAAACCTTGTAAAATGACAAACCTTAATCTAAACAGCTGTAAGTAAACAGCTGTAAGCTGTAGTCTGGGGGGGGAAGTATTAGGAAACTTTGGAAGGAAAAAACATTTCAGGTAAATGAGACTGTGAGTATCTGTAACAGGATGAGAGTATTACATTGCTAGGTTTGTGTTATGTGTTTGTCAGTTACAGTGATAAATAGAGGCAATTACTGGTATTCCTGCATCTCTCTCTTGCTATGGGACGGGGGGCAAGGTTCACTAAAATGCAGAAAATGGCATGTCTACAGCTTAATCTCATTATAAACCAGTCTTGAGGCTGGCTATATGCTAACCAGAGGTCATATAAGTCATCTTAAACTTCTAAACTATTCCAGGGCAGGTTGTACCACAGTACACAGCCTCTCCTTCAGGCTGAGAGAATGTAAATGAAACCTGTTTAATTCTCGTCAATGACTGGAATAATGAAAGTTCTTATTCCTCCTCTTTGTAATGTTTCAGTTGGCAGTGTGTAAAATTAAGTGCATAAAATGCAGATTCCTCCTCTGCCTTGCTCAAAGGCCTACACAGTTGTCTAGGGGAAGGGAGAGGAAGGAATGGAGGTCCGTGGGTGATGGAGGGAAAAAGAAATGTGTGTGCGGTGGAACTGGATCGTAATTGTGGAAACAGCTGATGGAATAGTAGGGGGACACAGAGGGTAAATGTAGTCTGAAATCAGGGCTATAATGAAAAGGGATTCACCTTCCCTTTGGGCCTCCCACAAACATATGTTTCTAGGTATCTGAGCTGGCAAGAATTAACCTTCTCAAATCCTATTGTATGTATTCACTTAAACTTCCTTTCCTAATAAAGTATTACAGAATGTATCTGTAGTACGTTCCTGACCTCACTTAACCAGCTAAGCTCTGTGCTCGATTTTTCAGGCCTGGCACAGTGCGCCGAACTCTGCTGGCAGCTGCGCGGTCTGGCCGGGAGAAGACAGGTTCCCGGGGCAAAGGTCGCGCTGCAGCACAACATGGGCCTCGGCGGGGCCGTGGTGGTGACCCTCTACAGCATGGGCTTCCCCGGAGCCGCCAGGTGAGAGCCCCGCGGGGCTGTGGCTCCTCACAGCGCTTAACCGAGACGAGATGGTCCGATTCCACTGCGTCGTGCCCTAGGAGAAGAAGTGGGGGGGCACTTGAGGGTCTGCCCTCTGCGTGTAGCTGACTTCTTGAGGAGGGGGAAGAAAAAAACCAAACCACTGTGTGTACTGAAAGACCTTACAAGACAGTCACTTTCCAGACTGTATCTCTCTAGAGCAAGAAAATGCACCGCTGAATGAAAATGCATGTGCAGCATGCGTGTACGGGTCTTGGTTATACTGTCATTGGAAACTTTCACTATGGATTCAGTAGTGGTGCAAACTAAACTTGCTTTGTGTTGACTGTGCTCCCGTATCTTTGTGATTCAGAACTTATTTTGTTTAGAATTATTGTTTTCCTTTCCTCTTGTGCAAGGAAGAAATTACACAGTGTCTTATTCCTGATAAACAATATACACTGTGAGTTACAAGTTATTGAAAAGAGGAAACTGGCCCATAAAAATGGTTCACATGACTTTCTGTAAGGAAAAGTCTAATGTTTGGAGGAAAGAGGCCAGCGAAACAGACCACATTAAAATGAATTAATTAAAACTAGGGACTGGCTAAAAAAAGAGCAAGATATGCATGGGAATAGAGATACCTACTGTTTTCACTGCTAAAATTGTTACTAGTTTGGTTTCATGAAGAATTGCTTTCAGCTCTGTGTGTGTTACATGTGGTATTCTAAGTATGTGTTAGAATTCAGGCATGTGACTTGTCCAGCCTTGGCTAAAGAATCTGCACTTGCAATTGTAGCATACTTCAGAGTGAGAGGGGAACACCGCTATGAAGCTGTCTTGCAGTCTACCATAGTTCTATGCTAGGATGGACAGGAATTCAGAGAAAATACTTAAAATTTGTAAATATACCAGAATTTCAGGAGAGGCTTTTTTAATACGCAGTTCCCTGTATGTTTTCACTTTCGACTTTGCTTAGAAAGGTTGAGCTACTCTTTGTGGGTATTACAGTTTGGGTTTTAAAGCTTGATTAAAGCCAATACATTATATGTGCTCTAAAAACCTGTGAACAGTAAAGTATGTCATGGACTGGACTTCCAGAAAGAAATATTCCCTTCTGAACTCATATTTCTAATGTCTATTTTAGCTGGACCTGTGCAATTCCTGGGAGGTGACAATATTATCTGTGGAAAAAGTAATGAGAGTAGCAATTGAACTTTGAAGGGCTGCAGCAGTAACTCTTTGTAGTACAGTGTCAGAAGCGATAATCTTATTGTTTCTGTAATCTATGAGAGGTTAGACCATATGAGAAAATAGGATGATACAGAAAAAATCATGCCTTCTCATGGATTCTCTTCAAACATGCTCCCAAACTTGGCAGTGGGTGTTAGTACACTGTTTTAAATCAGAAGGGAAAAGACAGTTAAGGGAATATACTATTTTCTATTGCTTTGAGCTTTGTCTTTATAAAAATACTGTAATTTTATGGAACATGGAATCTCTTGCTATTTGTATACTGTTATCCTTGAGGTACTCCTAGAAGTAGTGCTTTCCTGTCAGGAGAAGCTTTGCATGTATAGATAATATTTCTCCTGAAGAAATAAAGTCTAACTTACTACAACTCACTTCACCTTCGTTAGTATTGAGAATTTTAAAAATTCTTTCTTGGGTACAACTCAAACCAGAGAAATCTTAGCAATACTAGTTTCATCTTGCATTAGAGAAGTTTAAGAACTTTTAGTTCTAACAAAGGCTTTGTGTGTGGGAGATGCCTGACACAAGGAGTTACACTAATGTACATCAGACTTTGGAACGACAGAGTGTCGCTAATCTGTTCAGACACCGCTTATGTAATTGAATGATGTTGTGTATTGTGTAATTAAGGTGGTGGCATTTCATGTTTATGAAGACACTTCATACTGTTTTTTTCTACAGCAGTGCATGTAGACTTAATCATTGGATTCAGATCTAGCCTGTAATTAAGCAGCTTTAGTAATAGCTGCCAAGAATGTGCATCAAGGTAAATGACAGCAGGACTTGATCAGTTTTGGATTAGTCTTTGAAATGGTTCTGCTCTTTTTTTTTTTTTTGACACCTTACAACTTTGTATCTTGTTAGTACAGCCTTGGTTTATTAGCAAAATTGATGTATCTTCTTCAGATGAGACAGTCCCTACTATTGCTACCCTAGCATACATCTATAGGATAGTGTTAGTACCACAGGAATAAGTTCTAGCAACATTTCTGAAGCAATTCTGTTACTAACAATATCAAACCTGACCACGGTTTCGAACTCTGTTACCAAGAGATGGAAATAACTGGAAACTTGTTTTTCCTTCTGCTTAAATTGCCATTTCTTTGGATGTGTCTATACTTAATTTGGCTCTGGGTGCCTCTGCAGAAATAAAGAATTAGGTTTCATGCTGCTGTCAGGCCACGCAGGGTGACTGCTCCAGAGAATCAGGAATAATGCTTAGTCCCTCTTGTGACAGTTAAGAGACCCACGTGAATTGGGAGGGAAATAGGGATTTGTTTTGCCAAAAAAAAAAGTATTTCTCCGGGATGGTGCACGTGCTTCTCTGCCTTCACACAGGGTGTGGCAGTAGTGTTTGCTGATGTATCATTAACAAGATTAATGATTTACTTTCATTATAAAATTAGTGTCCTGTCCCTACATGCAAAAACATCTGATACTTGAAGTGATTGTAATTCAAGCTGTCAAGCCCATCCGAGTGTAAGCTTCACTTGGATACCATACTGTTGCTCTATACTGCTAAAGTGTTTCAGTGTGGCTGTTCTTGCTGGTGTTGGGTCTATTCATGATAATTTGGAAATGCTGAAAATGTGATTAAAGGTATGTAAATGAATGGGTTTTTCATTTCAGCACCGGCCGTATTGCGGCTGTGCCTCTCAGTGCAGCTGTTGATGGATTTAAGTCACATTTGGTCTTCAAGGAGATTGAAAAGAAGCTCAAAGAGGTATTTGATGACTTCTTTTACCTATAACAGGATTTTAATTTATGACAGAACATATATGAAACCTGATGGGAATATAGTAGTGTCAATCACTTCCTCAGTACTGCTTACTGAAACAAAAGTTACAGCTTTGAATTTTACTGTGTCAGAAATCTTTCTATGCTGTGCTGTGATTTTTAAAATTTTTTTTTCAGATAATTCCTACCTGCATAAGGGTATTTCAGTAAAGGCAAGTTTAGATTGTGAGGAGCTTGCTAACTGACACAAGAAACTTTAAGTTTGTATTTGTTGCTTGCTTTATAAGTGCGATTTCTTCTTCTAATCATATCTTGTCAGACTTGCATCAAGACGAGACTGTTAGGACAGTGGTAACTTTTCTTCTTTGATAGATTTTAATATACATAGTCATTGTTCATGTTTTTTTAGTGGTTGTTTAAATGAAGCCTAATAGAGGGAAATGGGTATTTCTATGTTAGTAGAAAGGGTAAAAGTTTTAAAATTACTTTCTATTTAATTCAAACTGTTTCAAAATTATTTTGAAGTAAATGAATAATTTGCTTATTACATGGTCATTACAGGAAGGAGAGCAATTTGTCAAGAAAATTGGTGGAGTCTTTGCCTTCAAAATAAAAGATGGCCCTGATGGGAAAGAAGCAACTTGGGTAGTAGATGTGAAAAATGGTAAAGGCTCTGTGGCAGT